TATAATAATAAATACGACAAACAACACCAATATAATAAAAATATGGAAATTAGTATGCATGCAAATTATTATAGTATTATATATTATATAGAGTAGAACCTCCATGAGAGGACACTCACGCTAGAGGACACCTTTCTATAAAAGACAGTTTTCATTGTCAGAATTACCATTTTTACTATTTAACAACTCTCCGGTTAGAAGATACCTCTTCATAAAGGACTATTTTGCTCTGCAATTAGGTGTACTTTACAGATAGGTATTACTGTACAAGTATTTACACTCATGGACAAAACTGAAGGAAGTGGAAGGTCTTTGATATCGCCGGTCGTCTATTTTTTTATTTTTTATTTTTTTGAAGGAGACAGAGGCAATTTTGTTCACATTTTGTTATCTCGTGTATCTTCAATAAAGATCACTGTAATATCTGTGATGTAATTGTACATATTCAGATGTAAATATGTAAATATGGTTTTGCATATAGACGCTCGAGTTAGGATATAAATAGAGACAATTGGATGTTGTCAGTTAGTTAGTAAGTTCCGTTCTTAAATAAAGAAGTGTTCACCATCGTAGCCCGATACCCTTAGAGAAACAAAACATGGTGGCAGCGTAAAAGCGGTATAAGCGTAAAAGCGGTAAAAGCGTAAAAGCAATTTTCAAAATTATAAAGTTGAAATATAAGATTTTTTTTAAGAAAAGAAAAAAAAATGGCTAATTATATACAAGTAGCTGCTCCAGAAGGATTCAATTTCGGCAAACCTAATGAATGGCCAATATGGTTCAAAAGATTTCAAAGATACAGAATCGCTTCAGAACTTTCAGAGAAAAGTGAAAATGAGCAAGTAAATGCTCTGATTTACATAATGGGCGATAAAGCAGAAGAAATCTTGATCTTATTTAATTTAAGTGAAGCGCTAATTAATGACTATAAACTAGTGGTGTCCAAATTTCAGGACTATTTCATAGGAAAAAGAAATGTTATTTATGAAAGAGCAAAATTCAATAGAAGAAGCCAAGGGGAGACGGAACCTGTAGAGGAATTCATAACCAATCTCTATGTGCTGGCAGAAACCTGCAGCTATGGTATCTTAAAAGAAGAGATGATCAGGGATCGCTTGGTAGTTGGAGTGAAAAACTTTAATCTTTCTGAGAAATTACAGTTGGAATCGGAACTTACCTTGGAGAAGGCAATCCAGATAGTGCGCCAATCAGAAAGTGTAAAGAATCAACAAAAAGAAATTAGGCAAGACACTGAAGATCGGAACGTGGATGTGATTGAAGTAGGAAAGGTGAAATACACGGATACGAAATATTGTAGAAAATGCAAGTTAAACAAGGAAGAAATTGGTTTGCCATGTCACAGGCTATGTAAGACCTGCTGGATCGGTCATGTGAGTGAACATCTTTCTTCTGAGAAACTTGAAGATCCTATAACGTGTCCAAATGAAGAATGCAAAGAAACTTTGAATTCTGAAAAAAGAAAATTGTACAAAAGTGAAAATTGTACAAAAAGTGAAAATTGTACAAAAGTTAAAATTGTACAAAAGTAAAATTGTACAAAAGTGAAAATTGTACAAAAGTAAAATTGTACAAAAGTGAAAATTGTACAAAAGTGAAAATTGTACAAAAGTGAAAATTGTACAAAAGTGAAAATTGTACAAAAGTGGAAATTGTACAAAAGTGAAAATTGTACAAAAGTGAAAATTGTACAAAAGTGAAAATTGTACAAAAGTGTAATTGTACAAAAGTAAAATTGTACAAAAGTGTAATTGTACAAAAGTGTAATTGTACAAAAGTGTAATTGTACAAAAGTGTAATTGTACAAAAGTAAAATTGTACAAAAGTGAAATAGTACAAAAGTAAAATTGTACAAAAGTGTAATTGTACAAAAGTAAAATTGTACAAAAGTAAAATTGTACAAAAGTGTAATTGTACAAAAGTGTAATTGTACAAAAGTGAAATAGTACAAAAGTAAAATTGTACAAAAGTAAAATTGTACAAAAGTGAAATAGTACAAAAGTAAAATTGTACAAAAGTAAAATTGTACAAAAGTAAAATTGTACAAAAGTGTAATTGTACAAAAGTGTAATTGTACAAAAGTGAAATAGTACAAAAGTAAAATTGTACAAAAGTAAAATTGTACAAAAGTAAAATTGTACAAAAGTGAAATAGTACAAAAGGAAAATTGTACAAAAGTAAAATTGTACAAAAGTGAAATAGTACAAAAGGAAAATTGTACAAAAGGAAAATTGTACAAAAGTAAAATTGTACAAAAGTGTAATTGTACAAAAGTGTAATTGTACAAAAGTAAAATTGTACAAAAGTGAAATCGTACAAAAGTAAAATTGTACAAAAGTAAAATTGTACAAAAGTAAAATTGTACAAAAGTAAAATTGTACAAAAGTAAAATTGTACAAAAGTAAAATAGTACAAAAGTAAAATTGTACAAAAGTGTAATTGTACAAAAGGAAAATTGTACAAAAGGAAAATTGTACAAAAGGAAAATTGTACAAAAGTGAAATAGTACAAAAGTGTAATTGTACAAAAGTGTAATTGTACAAAAGTGTAATTGTACAAAAGTGTAATTGTACAAAAGTGTAATTGTACAAAAGTGTAATTGTACAAAAGTAAAATTGTACAAAAGTAAAGTTGTACAAAAGTAAAATTGTACAAAAGTAAAATTGTACAAAAGTAAAATTGTACAAAAGTAAAATTGTACAAAAGTAAAATTGTACAAAAGTGTAATTGTACAAAAGTGTAATTGTACAAAAGTGTAATTGTACAAAAGTGAAATTGTACAAAAGTGAAATAGTACAAAAGTAAAATTTTGGCTGACGGACCTTAACGGGGAGCCATATGTGAATTGCCCGGAGGCCAACCCACACACTTCGGATGCTGCTGCGGATGTGGCCGGATCATCAACATCTCCTGGAAGAACAGTTCGTCCGCCCAGACGTTTTGGAGAGGACTAGAGCTAATCTCTAAGAGGGGAGATGTGATGTAATTGTACATATTCAGATGTAAATATGTAAATATGGTTTTGCATATAGACGCTCGAGTTAGGATATAAATAGAGACAATTGGATGTTGTCAGTTAGTTAGTAAGTTCCGTTCTTAAATAAAGAAGTGTTCACCATCGTAGCCCGATCCCTTAGAGAAACAAAACAATATCTTTCAGAGTTATTGTCTGAATCCCGATATACATTCTGAAAGGTACAACTTCCTTAAGTTTTTTGTTCCCCCCCCCCCATGTTAGATGTTCTAGAACCCCCCAAGATGATAGAATAATTCACATATTCCCATTATTCCAGTATACCCGGGCGAAGCCGGGTCATATATCAAGTAAAATAAAATAACATACAGTATATATAAAAAATCTAACTCAATGCGTCCCATGCTATACTAATCCATATTCATCTAAGAACCTATTTATTCTTAATCCCAATTTATTTTCCTTGGAGTTAATTTCCAATCATCCTTTCTTTTATCCTTCAAGCGCCTTAAAAATAAATTATTAAAAGATTCACAGTTTATATAAGAGCCTTCTCATATCATTATCGAACTACTTAATTAAGTTTAATTTATCAATAAATTTTCTTTCTTAAACAACTTCATGTCAAGCTTCCAATCTCCTTTTCTATCATAATCATTATCATCATTTAGTATTTTAACTCTGCTACAGAGATCGGCGGCCATATTGGAACGTCAGTTAGACAACTTTCAACGATATGACTTAGAAGCTGATACATAGCAATAACATGCCATCTATATAAAACAAATGAAAACACCAAAACGCAAATTGAAACATTCGCGTTTTGTTTTTTTTTAATTTGTATTAGAAGCTGATATATTGACTAAAGTTACCATTTGGATTATAGAGTTCTAGTCGTGGTGTCTTGTTTTCTATTGTGATGGAGTTTGGGTGGTAGAAATTTATATTTTTAATATTTGTTTGTTCTTTAGAGAAAGATTTTAATGACTTGAAATTCGGTTGTGAATTTACATTTCCAATTATAGAGAGTAGAAACAATTTAAGATAACAAGATCAATGTCTATAATTTACTTGAATACCATTTCTAAGATTACACACATCAGTGTAACATATATAAGCAGAACCGTTCAATACGATATTAGAACTCTAAGAAGCGGTCTAGCAGATTAAATTGGCTAAAACGCTTGAGTATTCACTACTGCTGAGCCAAGCCCTATTTTTTCATCGCGGTAAGGATAATAGAACTTTTTTATGTGTAACTAAAAAATTCGTGCTTTGATGCTTTTAATTCATATGTTAAAATGGCGCATTATTGCCTTATAATTTATGTCTTTTGTTACCTTAGGTTTCCAGGGAATGATATGTAAAAGGACAACTAGAACAAATTGCTGATTTATGAACCAAAGTTCTTTAAGCATTCAGTTTTGGCTAGTCCTTAAAATAACTGCTTCTCAGAAGGTTTTTCTGTAAATTAAAAAGTCTAACAAAAATCTCACTTACATGAGAACTCCTAAAACTTTCAAAATTGCTAAAAAAAACCATGTCAAGTGTGTCATTATATGTTTTTACTATTCAGTTTTGATTGTCCATTGTATTTTGTCTATTTCAAAAATACGAGTTTTAATTATTAATAGAATCTATGTCCTTTAAAAGAGTTACCTACCAACTTAACAAAAAATTAAGAATTTGAATCATTTAGCTAATTAATTTCAATTATATGGATATGTAATTGAGATAGATTATTTAGTATCAAAATTAATTAGAAACAGGATTGAAATTACCTTGACAATTATTATTCTCTTTGTTGTGGGTATTTTAAGTTCATTGTTATAAATTGTTGACCTCAAATATTTTGGATTTTTTGTTCGTATGGAACGTGTCAAGGATTGTATGGGTGAGATTGACTTTGCTTAGAATTTTTAAAGATACTGATTCCAAGAAGATTCATCAAACATTATTGATTGTATTATAAATTACTTTATATAATATTTACGAACGGAAAAATTTGTCCAGGGTAGCCTAGTGGACATGGCATCTGCCCCGGTAAGCGGAACACTGTGGGTTCGATTCCCATCCCTGGACACTATTTTTCCGTTTATCATTACTCTTCACAATTCATCTTTTCATATTTCATCCCTAAGATTAAAAATAATCGTTATTTATCCTTAAAAATAAATTTTGATTTTTCGTTCAAAAGAAACACATGTGGGATAATTTTCAAATGTCGTTTTACAATTATTGATTTACAAGAGAGAGAACAAAATAAATCTTATAACATAGTAAACAAAGAGAAACCTATCTTCTTACGGTTATCACCTATTTACTTGTGATCTTACACACATACTCTGTGGGAACAATTAATTAATTAAACTTAAAATATATATATAACTGAGATTTTATGATGTTCTCATATCAACCATTCTTCCATTTCACACCTTATCCTATATTTTCAAAATATCTTGTAACTAATTGTGATGTTCCTCTCTTCGATTAAATAAATAAATATGTTTTACCAATTTGAGAAACAAATTTTAATTATATTTCTTTCTAATGTTATATATACACTTTTGAATATAATCATAACAACAACAATAACTACAGTGCTGCCAAATCCAAACATTCAAAAATAAATTAATTAAACAGAGTATATTATTATAAGGTATATTACACTAATATTTGAAATCACTAAGTAAAAATGTACAAGTACAGTAGAACTACCTCCCTGTAAAGGACAACACTTAATTACAGAGCCAAAGTGTTCTTTAAAGAGAGATGTCCTCTTACTGGAGAGTTACTAAAGAGTAAAAATGGTCATTTTACAAATGAAAAGTTTATAGAAGAGAAATTCTATTTATAGGAAATTCTAGGGACAAAGATAAATATTCGAATTAAAGACGTTTGAATTATCCAAATTCAACTGTATTTAGATGAAATGTCTGTTGAAGAGTTCTTAAATTCGAAAGCTTACTATATTGCAACAAAGTATTTATTGTGAAAAAATAGTACAAATGTGATATTGTACTGGGATAAGGTGCATAAATTATGAAAAAGGCATCTCCTTATCGGCGCAAGCCATCAGCAACTTTCAGTTGCACGATAAGGTGATACTTTTTTCATAAAGTATTTATTATATTATTAGCAGATTATTATTTTTTATGTTTATATTTTGCTACTCTGTAAACTTCCCTTATTGCTTATCTTTTGTTTATCTTTCATAGTTTGTTCTTGATTGAAATAAATTGCTGTCTCATCCCGAAGTTGGTCTTCCCTAATTTTCCATGTGGCAATTTATAATAAATTTTAAAAGAAACCTTTTGCTAAGAATAGTTAACTAAAATATTTTTCTGCTATTTCCAACACGATGAATTTCAAATAAACAAACCAGAAACTCTAACCAAACTCAAAACAATTTGTATTAAAAAAAAACTTTATTACCGGTAGCTAAGAAAGAGAAAGAGTTTTGTCTGAGGAATCACGCGAAGATATTTGTAGAAGAAAGTAAAAAAAAGATTCCTAAAGTGGAACCAGTTATTAATGCAGGACTTTAAACTGGAAGATCACGCTAAGGGTCAATTTTATCTCCATTAACTGAAACACCATCACTTCCTTCTTGAGGACGTTGTATGTCTGAGAAGAATCTGTTTACATTCTTTTTTCAAGTCCTATATGTAAATATACACTCTTTCTTAAGATCATTATTTTTATAATACTCAATTTGTTACAAACACGGAAATTTCAAAAGTTTTTTAAATAGAATAAAGGCAGTGGAGGATTCAAGTTGCTTTTGTGGTATTGAGGAACAAACCTCAAGATATCTACTGATCGATTGCCCAGCATTTCAAGATTATAGAATGAAGAATGAACTAGTTGTTTGTAAACTTAACGATTTGATTTCCGATTTAAAAAAATCATATTTAAAGTTCAATTCATTTTGAAAAATACATTCTAAACTTTCTACAAAATCTGGATATCTAATGTTTTCATGCGTTGAATAATGTAAATAACTTATGTAAATAAACTTTTCTCCTTGTTTGGCGCAAGTATCCCTAGCGGGATATAGCGCTTTGGAAATAAAAATAATTGTAATTGTAATTATGGAATACCTAAGCCACTGGTAATTGTTTAATCTCTATATATCGTGGTGTATTTTCCAATTCTCGCTATATACAAAACATAATATAGAAAATATACCATAATTGTATTGCTTAGACTTTTTTAAAGATACTGATTCCAAGAAGATTCATCAAACATTATTGATTTAGTAAATTAAATTTAATTTACTAATATACATATATTGGTTATGAAAACATATTTTGCGGAAGAGCTTTGCTCGATGCAATACCTTGAAATTATATGTATGTACCTCTACAGACCTATAAGTTTATGTCCATAGTTCACTAAACACCTCTAAGCTGCCTTCCATAGAAAATACAAGGTATACTCCAAACCAATCCAATACAATAGTAGAGCGGTCTAGAGATTAATTTGGCGAAACCGCTGAGAGGGTTCACTACTGATGAGCCAAGCCCTCTCATTCAATAACTCATATCATTGCAGTAAGGTCTGTAGAGATAATATTTGATTATATTTAAAAGAAACGCATTGCCAGTAAATTTATTTGTAATATGATGCACTAGCGCGCCATCTGTTATCAAAATTCAAAACTTTTTTAAAGGCGTAAGATTCTTTTTGATATTAAACAATTTCTACTGCCCTTACTGCAATGGAAAAATTAATGAGAGGGCCTGGCTCATCAGTGGTGAACCCTCTCAGCGGTTTCGCCAGTTTATTTGTGTAAAATTATTGATTTACAAGAGAGAGAACAAAATAAAAACTTTAACATAGTAAAACAAAGAGAAACTTCTTACAGTTAACACCTATTTACTTGTGATCTTATACATATACTCTGTGTGGGAACAAGTAGTTCGTAGTTGACTTTTCTTAATTTTATCAAGAAATTGGGTTGGCCAAATATCAGTAAACAGGCTAAATCAATGTTTAGTTGATTTCTGTTCCACTAGATGGCGCTCTGCCATCTAAAAAGCTCATGTGCTCGTGGTCAGGATATGCCTTCGTTGGCATGTAAATTATTATGTAAAGAGAAAGTACATTACTTGTGAAATATCCAAAACATTGGCAATTGTTTAAACTCTTTAAAGAAAATAAGTTGGTCAAATATCAAGGAACAAGCTAAATCAACGCTTAGTTGATTTCTGTTTCACAAGATGGCGCTCTGCCAAGAGATTATATAAAAAAAAATAGGGCAAAATTAATTTATAATAAAAACAAAGGTCAACAATGATATGTATGTAAACAAAGAGGAATTCGAGAATATATGCAAATAAAGGACACCAAAAATAAGTAAACAAAAGTCAACAATGATATGTATTAAGAAAAAGGCATCTTCTTATCGTGCAACTGAAAGTTGCTGATGGCTTGTGCCATCTATCGAAATAAATATAAACTATTCCCGTTGATTTTTTATTATTCCAGAATTGGCCAAATACCCATTCTTGATTAATCAAGAAAAGCTAACCACGGACGCGTTTCGGGCTGTTGACCCTCATCAGCGTGGTGCAAGCTGTACCTCAACGTAAAAAAAAATTGGTCATTCAGGCATCCTGAAAAATCACGAAACGGGTAGTTAAGGCCAGAATTGCGTGAGACGGCGACACAATGTGAAAAAAATAGTAAAATTGTGATATTGTACTGGGATAAGGTGCATAAATTAAGAAAAAGGCATCTCCTTATCGTGCAACTGAAATTTACTGATGGCTTGCGCCATCTATCGGTATAAATATCAACTATTCTCGTTGATTTTTTAATTATTCCAATGAATTTTATTTTTTATTTTTTTTATTTATTGTTACAAAAGCACGAAGTCCAAAGGACTATTGTGCTGTGCTAGTATTATTTATATATATATGATTAATTATTTACACGATGGATTAGTATTGTTTTGTAAATTATTGTACAAATAGTTCTAAACTTAACAAAGTTCTCATAAGATAGAGTATATACACAAAGAGAATTTGGTAATGTTTCAAAGTATCTACATACAATTTGATTAGTCAGAGGGCAAGATAAAAGAAGATGCTCTGGTGATTCAACATCTAAGCGGCATTCACATGTTGGATCATTGATAGCATTCAGTTTGAATAGGAAACTTAAGAAGGGTCCTTTGCCAGTTAAGAATAATGTAGTGAATTTATCAGAGGAAATGAAATTTGGGACAGCAATTGGAAAGAATTTCTTGAACAGTTTATTAGATTGAGAAAGATAAAACTTAAATTTTAGATCCAGATATAGTTTGTTTAATTCTTTTTGAAGGGGTTTTTTGAGTGTTCGATCTGTGAGAGAATTTGTCATATTATACTTTGTTTGTAATAATTCAAGATAATCGGACAGTAAAGGGGTTTTCGCTAGTATATGTGTGATGTAAGAAGATGAAGTCCTATAAGCATGAATGCATCTAATAAGAATTTGATATTGTATAGAATTCAACTTGGATCTTTTTGCTGCAGTGATAAAAGGAAACCAAATATTTGATGCATAGCTTATTGTAGAGCGTATCATAGCTTTATATAAGATCAATCTACGTCGAGTATCAATGCCCCAAGTACGTGCACATAATGAGAATAATATATTCTTAAGTTTCGTAGCTTTCATAATTATATTGTCAACATGTGTTCCAAAATTAATCTTATTCCTTTGTCTATGATTTTTAAAAATAACTCCCAAAATTTTAACAGTTTCTGATGGTTGAATTATTTTTCCATCAAAATTAATGGGCAATTTTTCATAGTTATGTAGATAGAGTATACCTGTTTTGTTTGGACTTAGTGAAAGTTTTACCTTTTCACACCATGCTTTGATTTTTATTAAACATTTGGTAATATTATACTGAAGATCATAGATGTTTGAACTCCATACCACAAATGTCACATCGTCCGCGAAAGCAATCACTCTAGCAAAACTTTCGTTAAAAGATAAGTTGAAATCATTAAGTAATATATTCCAAAGAATAGGAGAAATAATACCACCCTGGGGACATCCCTTATTTATCTTTTTTATACACTTTA